TTTGTTCTGTGTAATTGCTGTATGTTTGGGAGGAACAGCGGGGGGTGCTGTTGTTTTGAGCGTTGTATTTGTTGTAATTGTCGTAATTGTTGTAATTGTGTGTGAAGCACTTGCTGCATTTTAAATGTATGAAAAGTGCTGTACAAAAAAGTTTGATTTGATTTGAATGAATAATGCATCGTAAAGCGCTTTAGGCGTCTTGAAAGGCGCTTTGCAATATTATTAAGTGCTAAAAAGTAGTAGGGATGTAACGATATTCAAATTTCTCTATACAATATTTTCATGATACACATCTCATTTATTGCGCTATTTTGTGGAGGATAACAAAACTGTGAATATGCTACTTTTATCTCATCATAATCTAAATAATTAAGATGTAAAAATGTTGAATAAGTTATTTCATCATGTAGAGTGGACTGAAAGGGGGCAAGGAATCATGGTCTATGTATTTCTCTCAGTTTTTTCATTTGCTGCACCATAACAATGAATTTAAGCAAAGTAGCTTGTATCCAATCCAATCCACTTTATTTATATAGCACATGTCATAAACAAAACAGTTTCCGCACAAAAAACATATCCAATAGAAATTTAAAATAAAGCTCTAATTATCTCCACTAGTCCTCGTCAAATAAGAGTGAGAATACCAATAAAAATAATATAAAGGTAAAAAAACAACAAAAATAAATAAAAGACTGAGGACCACACAAATCACACCATCTTAAAACGAGACCTAAAACACTCCATAATGCTATGATGGTCCACGATGTTATTGCGAGACTTTTGACGATATGATATCACGATATTTCGATTATAATTACATCCCTGCTGTGAAAAAGTAGGTCTTTGTTCCATTAAACAAACATTAATTTAATTTCACACTCTTGTTAATTTGTTCATTTTCATGTCCAACTAAACAAGTACATATAGTTTGTAGTTCTTTTTGTTTATTATCACATAACACATTGTTCATTTAAATATACTTTATTTGTTGATTCATTTCAGTTACATCCATATTGACTATACTTACCTGCAGCTCCACATGGTCCAGACAAAAGAGGAGGCCCCATCTTGGCCATTTTTAAAGACTTGAGAGGAGTTCGTGGGCTGGACCATGTGGAGGGATAAACTGGTTTAAATTCTCTTTCATTGTCATTTGGTTTTATAGTTTATTTTCAACACACTGTTTTGTTTATGTTAAATACTTTGATTTAGAAGGGGACTTAGGCCCATATAAAACATATAAACATCCTAATTTTAGATTTTTGAAAGTTATCTGCAAAGGAAACGATACTTACCTGGGGGAGGTACTTCCTGCTGGGGGTATAAAAGCAAGGAGGTTTTGTCAATTCGAGGAGGAAAAAGACTTCTGTGCAGTTGGGTGCATGTTGTTGTTGCGTTGTAGTTGATTAAGGTCCGTTTACATGAGAACACTTGTGGGTAAAAATGACAAAATATTTTATCTGAAGTGCCTTTCGTTTAATCCAGGGGTGCTCACACTTTTTCAGCATGCGAGCTACTTACAAAATGACCAAGTCAAAATGATCTACCTAATACAAAGCCAAGCAAACTGCACTGAAACACTCTGTGCCCCTTTTTTGGACCCTCACCCACAGTTTGAGAACCTCTTCTTTAAGAGAACTTCCTCTGGCACTTTACACAAAACTGTGAAAAAAGTGAAGGAAGATTTTTTAAACCTGTTTTTTAAAGTTCCAAACTGGAGTTTCATTCTTTTCTGGTTTTGCAGTGATATTTACCAGCCTCTGCACATTTACCAAACCAAACGCACATCGTGACAAACACAGATGCATTTGTGCACTTTTGTGAGACAAACTTCAGCCAAATGTGGCAGTAGGTCTGTTCTGTAGATCCGCTCTATGCTGTAGACCTGCTTTGTGCCAACACTGGAACACAAATTTAGACTGGTTTTTGCTTCACGTTTGGTCTTGATCTTCTAATCAACGCACACTGTGGGAGGGGCTTGTGTTCGCTGTACGCAGGAAGGAGCGAGAGCGTGAAAAGGCGAGGGGCGGCGTGCTGACGTGAGGCAGATGGACAGGTAGGATGTTTAGGAAGTTGAACCTGCCCTGTGATGCACGCTGGTACACGAGGGCACACGCTGTTGTTTATTACAAGTTTATTGCCAACAGCAGCGGCCGTAATGAAATATGATCACACTTGTTGAGTGTCAGACCTTGAGTGAGAGACAAGACCGAGTCCAAACACGAGTCCGAGACGAGACACGGCGATCTACCCGCACGACCTTGGTGATCGACTGGTAGATCACGATCGACGTATTGAGCACCCCTGATTAAACTGCACTGAGACCATTGGCACTGAGAAGCACAGTAGAAATATTGGTGCAGCAAAACTTGAATTTCACTCAGGATCATAATGGGAGCTCTAACTATGCTAACTGAGGGTTTTTTTACACAAGAATGCTTGCAGGTAAAAACGACAAAATATTTTTATCGGAAGTGCCTTTAGACGATGACAGCGTTTTTGGGGCTTAAAAATCTGAATACGCTCCCCCGTAGCATTTCTGTCTACACTGCCTGAGACTCAAAACTCTGGTCAGATCTGCTCACGTCTCGTACACGTTTACGTCACATACATCACCACCTAGCGCCACCACCGAGCCGCCTGGCATGCATACACAATCGAACTCCACACACTTTTGCGTCATTGTATGCACGCAGATTTCCTCCCGAAAACGCTCATCTAAATGCAGAATAAAAAGTGAAGACGCGACGCCACTTTTGGCATCTTCTGTTCAAACCGTCATCATATAAATGTAGCCTTAAGTTAATTATTTTCTGTTTTATTTGTTTGAACCGTCTATTTGTAATTAAGTTCCTGGTCATAGACACATTTTTGTTTTAAGTCTGCTTTCTACTTTGACCATGACCACTCAAAAAAGTATTGCTAACCTGACCTCTGTTGAAATGATATATGACCCCGACAGCCCCTGGTTAAATACATAATGTGTGTTAAAGGCCCTGCTCGTTCCCTGTGTGTGCGGTGTGCAGGTGCAGAGCGGTGTGCAGAGCCGTGTGCACACTGAGACTCTGCTCTGTTGTCTGCATCTCCTTTAAACCTGTGTCTGAGGCGGCACTGCCAGCGGGACTCTCCTCTCTCCACACTTTGAACGCTCACCGGTGTCGTGTGCAGACCGTCAGCGCACATACAAATGAGCCCCGCAAGCAGCCAAGAGCAAGTGTGGAGTTTATACAATATGGCTTTTTTTATCCCCTGTGAGGTTTCAAGTGGAGAACTACCCCGGAGAATATCCCAGCGAGCGCTTTTATGGGGGTTTGGAATGGCAAGGTCTCTCAAGATTCGATGTTATTCACGATAAGTGGAGAAACTGCGATATGGATTTCGTGTTAAAATATATAAATACTGTTAAAATACTGGTTTATTAGTTTATGGACACGTTTTTGCAGATGATGTCGTCAACATTCCGTAGGGGTGTGATGCTAACTGCAGGCACTGGTTAATCTGAGTTTTTTTTACACTTTGCAGTCGTCCTTCGCTATATCGCAGTTCAGTTTTCATGGTCTCGCAGTTTCGTGGATTTTTTTGTGTGCAATTTTGCATGCTTTTTTTTTTTTTTTTACAGTGTATGAACACATATTGCTTTCCTCCCACTGCGTCCTGACTGGCTGATGGACTCCTGTCTCCTGTACAGTACAGTACAGAATGCGATCAGCCAAATTTACATAAATGTTGGATTTCTAGCAGTGTGATTCTGAAGTGCGGTATGTTTGCAAGTTTTCTCCCTGACAAAATCCACAATGTGGATGAAACGTTCTGCACTGACAAAGGCTCCTGCAGTCGCACGCAAAAGACTGAGGAAAATACAAACCGTTGCACGCTGAAGGAAGGTAGACGTTACGCACTGTAGCAGAGTCTTACACATTGTCGGGTACCTGCAAATAGTTGCTGAAACCAGGACTTAAAGCACGATCAGGTTACGGCCGTGTTTACCTCCGTGAGGTGCGGAGCTGAGCCAGTCCTTTCTCCTACAGTCACCTTTGAGCCTGTCCCGACAGTGAGTCCTGTTTCACGTCTGGTTTAGTCCTGGTTTACTGCTGTTTTACTTGTGTTTTAGTCCTAGTTCAGTCCTGGTTTAGTCTTGGTTCAGTCCGTGGCGTATGCAGCGTTACAGTTTGATATAATCTCAGGTTTGCGGGCGGGGGTGGGTGCAGACGGGGGCAGGTGCTGTACTGTACTGCACAGGAGCGGGTCTCCAAAAATGGACCCGTGCAGGACTCTGCGCTGTAGGACTCCATTACGGAATTAATGAATCATTGGTTCGTTACATAAAGAAGGAGGAAAATAACATAAGGACGACAGCAGCAATAAGTTTTAAGTCTGAGAAAGTGTATAAAGTGTGTGCTTAGGGGTCTTACAGCCTTAAAACAGATATAATAACTGTAAAATATAAAGTTGACTACTTCGCAGATTTCACCTATCGCGGGTTATTTTTAGAATCTAACCTCTGCGATAAATGAGGGACCACTGTAATCTGAGCTTTATTTGAACACAAACATCCAAATAGCCCCCACAGTGGAGTGTTTTAAGACTCATTTTAAGACCCACTTTTATTCCCTGGTTTTAATACTGCATGACTTGTATGGTTCTCTGTGGCTTTTGTTTATTATTTTTATTTATTTATTGGTTTTATCAATTAAATTTTTTTACTGCTGCCGTTATTTATTGATTTTATTATTTTTGTTCATTGATTTTAATATTATTGTTTTATCTGTTGATTCTATTATTTCCTCTATGCTATATTGCTCTGTGAAGCCCTTTGGAAACTGTCTTGTTTATAAAATATGTTATACAAATAAAGTTGGATTGGATTGGAACTTCTAGCCTCAGTGAGCTTCATTTGACAGCAGCCGAACTCGATAGGTGACGTCAGATTCCTTTTAGTCCACTTCTTTATGCAGTCTATACTCATTACAATGCTTGTTTTTGTCATTTTGTCTTCACAGCATCCAGACAGAACCATCCCCGTCATCATCATCGGCGTCCTGGTCTTCCTCCCCGGGTTTTACCATCTGAGAATCGCCTACTATGCTTCCAAAGGTTACCGTGGTTACTCCTTCGACGACATCCCGGATTTTGGAGATTAGCCGTCACACTGCGGGCTCCATTAGACTGCAGACGAGGAACGTAGCGTCTAGCTGATCTGAAGTTCTGAAATATCACATTTACTGTTTTTATAAATATTGAAGGTTGGGTCAGCCTTTAAATTTGTCACCCAGAAAATTTTAGTCAAATATTTTCTTTCACACAAAATTCATCTCGTTTTTTCGTAAAGCTTGCTGCTATTGTTTTTAGCATTATCTTAACTACAACCATTTGTTTTGTATATGCAGAAATATGAACTAATACTCGTTATTTGTAATTGTTATTTTCCATACATATAGATTATATTAAGAAGTAAAATGAGAAAAAACAAAAACTAAGGTGTCCAAAGTTAAAGGTGTACTATGTAACTTTTCTCATGGGGGTTAACGTGCGTAAAGGGCAGCAAGATTCATCGAAATTAAGATGTAATTTCAATGGAATTTTGAAGTAGTAACATTTTTATGTAGCGTTTAACGCACTTCACGTCGAGGAACCACTCACCCATTCACACACCAGTGTACGCAGACACTGGGAGTGTCTTGCCCAAGGGCATAACGACAGCATTCATTATCTGTGGGAGCTGGAATCGCACCACCAACCTGTGGGTTAGTGAATCTGACCGCTCGACCAATGATGTTTATGTCGAGACCATAATTTCCTCCACAAACAGCAAAGTATTCAGTCTAATTCCGCTTAAAAACGGGGTACTTTTTTTTTTTTTTTTTTTTCAGAGGACATAGTCAAGGTGAGGGGGCAATTGTTGTCAAGGGGGCCGTCTTAACTATAAAGCGCTGCAGGAAACACTGCATTAAGCTTATCTATATCTGTTTTGCTTTAATTGCAGGGAGAGAATGATATACCGGGTCAATATTTGCACTTTTTAACGGATCAGCTTTCAACTTTAAATCTCCAGAACAGGCCAATATTTATTTAGTTTTTCTCGACCTGCTGCCTAAAAAGTACACATAAAGCTTTATTTTAACTACATGACTTCACAGTTCTCTTTTAGGTTTGTGGTTTAAAAAAAAAAAGGTGTTTTGTTGACAGAATTTGTGTAAAGAAACTAAACCAAAATCGGCCACATGTATCAGTCCAAAAAATCTTGACAGAGTTTGTGTTTGTTTGAATTCTAAACTATCAGTATCAGCCATGAAAAAGTGGCTTCCCCTTCAGCAGAAAAGTTACAGAGTGCACTTTTTTGATCTCTAATGCATTGATCTTTCTTTCTACGCGTAGCTTGAACTTATAGTCTATCTTCTGCACTAGTTTGTAAGAAATTTTTAACACCTCCATTGTGTCTTTTCACCGTGTTAAGCTCGCCTACCTCCTGCTCTGCTTGCTGTCCTGAGAATTTAAATATGTCCACAGCAGAGCCTAGTTACAAACACACATCTATAAGCAATAATGATATATTTAGCTACTTTTTTGACTTGTGACTATAGGATTACTGCACTACACTGCTGTCTGAAATGGCCTTTTACATATATATATATTTGTAGCAATAACTTGAATATTAGAAGTTATGTTAAGTCTCCTATGAAAGGCCTTGTACCTGATGTGTTACAAAACCAATGTATTTGAGAAAAATTTGTCTCCATACTACGTTGTTTTTTTAAAATCTATGTTATAATGTTGTTTCCTCATCAAAATCTAAATGTTCTCCTGTAACTGCTAGCCGCATGAGCTTCGTTCGACTGAAGCTTAGCGCTATGGGTGATGTCAAACTCCTTTAGTCCACTTCTTTATACAGTCTATACCGTAATTTCGGGACTATTGAGCACACCTGAATATTCGCCGCATCAACTAAATTTGAACAAAATTTTAAAATTGTACATATATATAGGCCGCACCTGAATATAAGTTGCAGGTGTCCACGTCTTCAAGAACGTTTTCAAGTTTGGGCCGTCTGCTTTTATCGCCTCTGAAAGCGTTTGTCGTCTTTTTGCTTTGAGTTAGTTCTCCAAAATCTCACCATCGACTCACTGATGTGGAGCTCACGTGCAGCAGCTCTGTTTCCTTATTCCACAGCCACATCAATTGTCTTTAACTTAAAAGCTGAATCATCTGCATTTCTTCATGTGTTTTCCACGAGGAGGGTGTGTATATGAAGCACAAAATAACTGTTCAAAGCACAATCAAACGAGCATCTTCCTCGGCGCATCAGCCCCGTCTCTCCACATGCATGTCTCCTGCAGAAAGAGTCTCTGTTCTGTCTGTATCATGTCAGTGTCTTGGAGGATTTCAGCAGATTTCAGATTAGGTTAGTTCTATCAATCAGGTATGAGTGGATGTTCGGCTACTGAAGTTTGAGACGTTTCTTCTCTTCATTTACGCACACGGGTAAGACGTATCCCCCTCACTAATGTTCATTTAGCATCATAACTTATTTTATCACATGGCGATAAACTCTGTGAGTGCGCTGACAATATCGCTAACAAATGCTGCAACTTCATGTTAATCCTAGATCCATGTGTAACTGCACAGACAGTGGCGTTTTCTGCACTCAGGCTGCGAGTATGCACTGTGTTGCCAAACCATAGACTGTATATATGAATGGACAACGTGCCACACAAAGAAAATGATCATATATTTGCCGCTTCGTTGTATAGGCCACATGGTTCAAACTGTGAGAAAAAAGTAGCGTCTTATAGTCCAGAAATTACGGTAATATACGTCCAGTCTCTACTAAAGAAAAGGTAAAAGGAGCTGTTAACGTGAAAACTACCGCTTCATGACATCACAAGGTGGAACAGAGCACTTTGAGCTTTGGAGATGTGGACAGACTAATAATAAAGTGTTACTCAAACTTGTGTGAATGAAACAAAACACAACTCCAGGTCTGGAAACAGCATTATAACGTAAATATCTTACATTTCAAGAGTTAATTCTGCGTAATATAGGACCTTTAAAGCATTTTATTGTCTGATAAGCAGGAAGTGTGAGTTTGCATGCTAGTTTTGTTAACTTAACCGTCACAACAAAACTCAGCACTGGTTAAAAGTTGTGAAAAGTGCTCATAAACTCATCTCGGTGAATAATTAAGTGAGGAATAACTTTGGACCTCGGCAAACAATTTCACATTTTTAACACGGTAAAAATCAGGTGCAGCGCCTTTAAATTATTGTTTCGTCGTCTCTAAAAGGTCAAATTCATTTTAAAGTTGCACATTGGTTAATCCTGCTGTTTTATTACCAATCAGTGGAGGATGAACTGCCTGTTAAGAGTGTGTCGCCAAAACTACCGCATTATTCTTGCTTTTCTGAAAATATACAGCGCTTCCTTCACCTCCGCCGTTAAGTCATTTTCACCTAATATATTTCATTCTGTTAATTATTTCTCGTGGTTCAGTTTTTAATTACGTATTAATAAGTGTTGATCAGTGTTTACCTTGTTGTACAGTTTTCTCATTCGCGACATCTCAGTTGTAAATGAAATTGGGCAGGCCATTAAATGCTCAATCAATCTGTCTTTTAGAGTGAAAATGCCGCTTTGAACTGGTTTATGGTTAAAGGGCTCACATTACGCTTTACATAATATATTGACATCGATGCTGTATGATGTAATTTTGTTTCCTTGTTACAGACACATTTGGAGTTGTGTTTTGTTCATTCATGCATGTTTAACACACAAATCCTGCAGATTTACGCTGAGTTTTTCTCTCAAACTGAAAACGTTCTTCACACTTTGACCTTGTGATGTCATATGGCAATACAGGAAGTGCCCCACTCTGTTTTTAAACTCCATCCACCTTCACTAGAACCATTTGGATGATTTAAACCCTGGAATTGTTGATCTCTACTGAACTTAGGCTACGTTCAGACTGCAGGGCTTAATGATGTTTTTGCGAGGTCGTTCGCTTTTCCAATTAAATGCGACTTGTGTGTGATCTCCAATGTAAACGGCCCAAAAGTGTCCCGCATGCGCAATGGAGAACACGATAACGTCAACCGCAGCGAGCGTGCTCTGTGTTTACAGAAGTTGTCCAAACATGGACGCAGCATTGAGCACCTGGAGATTTTAAAGTTCCTCTCGTACCGGAGCCAGAACATGAACAACTTACTTGTTTTAAGGAGGAGATTGAGAAGGAGAAGGACGAGGTTTTTGGTCGTGGTGTTTTGTGGGGCAGCGGCAGCGACGTCCGTTGAAAGGAACATGTGGATGTGGAGACGTAGCCAAGAGTGGTGAGTGGTGATGTGCTTCACTTCAGTCACACGGAGTTCATTAACAAGTTTCACCTACTTCAGTGCAGAATAGTGACGTTTGTGGCTTGTTGATAACGTGTAGGTGGATGAATGCACTTTGACCGTTCAGACTGAAGTCGCATGTCAAAAGATCAGATATGTATCGGTTTCAGGAGCACATATCCAAGTGTCCTGGGTCACATTTGAAAAAATCGGATCTGTGTTGTTCAGACTGTCATTAAAAGACCAGATACAGGAACATAGGGGCCAAAAAATCAGATTTGGGTCACTTCAGGCTGCAGTCTGAACGCAGCCTAAATGTAAAAGACTAAATGTAAAAAAACTTGAACTACATTTTGAGCAATGGAGATGTAGACAGACGAATAATAAGAGTTACTGAAACATGTGTGAATGAAACAAAACACAACTCCAGGTCTGTGTTTGTTATTGTGGTAACACGGCCTAAAGCTCATAAGAGTCACTTTTGTGCAATACAGGACCTTTAAAATCTCTGTTACTTCCACAGGAGAGACGTGTCAGTGAAAATTACTTTAAACTATATGGGGACTTGTAAGTTATGACTTGGACTCTCGAGTCAAACTTGAGTCACTATATTTAGGACTTAAGACATGACTTGATAAAAACAGATAAAAGACTTGGGACTGAACTTGGACTTGCAGCTCACTGACTTAGGACTTGACTCGATCTTGAGGCCTGTGACTTGAGAAGACTTGATGCCTCTCCAGTTGATACATGCAGTGCTTAGTTTTACAGGAACAAACTGGAACATGTCCCTCCCACTTCTGTTTGTTACTTTGGATGAAACTGAAGTACTGTGATATGGTATCCTCAAATGTACTACAGTAATACACAGTACAATACAGTAAAACAGAAGGAACTACATAGAACATGATCCTTCCATTTCAGTGCAGAGTACATGACAAAATAGAAGCATTTTAAAATCTGAATTCTTTCTATTCTGGCCGTAATGATTCACTAAGATCTTTTCAAGATGTTTAAAAAGGAAAAAGTGGCATTTCTATACCTCTTCTATAAATACTCAAATATAAATATACCATGACGTTTAAAGTACACTTTAGTTTAAAATTTATATCAATTGCAAAAATCTAAGCTATATTTGGTTTAAAGACTTGAAATGACTTGAAGCTCAAAGCAGACGACTTGGACTTGTCATGGATTATGGGCCAGTGACTCGAGACTCGAATTGGACTTGCCTGTATTTGACTTGGGACTTGACTTGGACTTTTAGGTCAAAGACTTGAGACTTACTTGAGACTTGCAAAACAATGACTTGGTCCCACCTCTACTATAAATCAATCAAAAATCTGCTATAAACCAATCAAAAATCAATGTTAGATTGATTGAATCCACAAACTTAACTTTAACTTTCATTAATGTTATGGTTTATAGGAAATGTTGGGTTAGATTTTGATTTCGAGTGTCATGAACAGGACGAGTAAACATGTTCAACTCAAATGTAGCTTTAACGGAACAATCGTAATGCTGATTTATTCTTGTTTACAACAACACTGGACCTGATTTCCATCTATTTGTTATAATTTGGTGTTTTTATTTTCAATGTTTTTTATGTCCAATCAGAAAGCAGAAATAGCCCCACACGAGTCTCTCATCTGGGTTTCCAGTTTCACTGCTGAAATCGTGCTGGTTTAAACCTAAAATGCCTCTGTGATCTAAATCCCACTATCTAAGACCGAGGTCTTCAACAGGGGGTCGTACTGCAGGGGGGCACGAAATCTTTGACTCTTAAACTTTTTTTTTTAATGTATTTCTTCATTTTTGTAGGATGAGGATGAATTGGTTTTCAGTGGGTTCTGGCTGTTTGCTCCTTCTCTCTCTCTTCATTCCTTTGTCTCTCAGTCCCAGTCAAACTGCAAACATCAGCGTGGATTTTATCGTTTGTTGTTGGCCACATGTAAAGAGTTAGTTAATTAATCATTGCGTTTATATAGCGCCTTTCAAGATACCCAAAGAGCTTTACAGTTCATTGTTCATTCACGTGACACTCAGTGGTGGTAAACTACTACTGTAGCCACAGCTGCCCTGGGGCAGACAGAGTTCCATTAGAGCTTCACTTTTATGCACAGCAGAACTTAAGCTCCACATGTACTATCGCACATCGTGAAGAGGTAACTTCATTTCCCGGGTGTTTTAACCAGGCTCCACACTCCACAGCCGCCTCCTCTCTGTCCACAGCTCGAACTAGAGACAGAATGAGCTCTTCAGATTAGAATGAGCGGAAAAGTTCAGTGTCCCAAATTAAACTCTTGTCCGTGCGCTGTGGCTTCTCTCTCGTTTAATCAGATCATTAAAAAAAAGTCACACTCGCCTATTTTCCGTGATGTTGTTGCTCCATTGCTCTGGCCTTCCAAGAGTCACTGCGAGCACAAAACGCACCTTAAACTTCAGGTTTGAATTAGCTTTGGCCAGACTCAGGCTTATTTCTGTCAAGGAACAAGTTGAGCCTTAAGCTGTAGATGGAGTTAGTTTCAGCTCAGGATTTCAGGATAAGTTGTTAAACAACTTTGATCAGGGGTGTCAAGCTCATTTTGGTCCAGGGGCCGTATCCAACCTACTTTGATCTCAAAGGGGCCGGATCAGAAAACTCATGTCATATAAACCCCAAAAATAACAATAAGTTCAAATATTTGTGCAGAGAAACACAAATCTATTACAGAAATCTTTTTTAATTGATGAACTCTTTCTTTTACAAAATATTATATTATGAACAACCTGAAACTTTAAGAAAAATACAATTTCAACACAATGTTTTAACATGAACTCATATGCAAATAGGAATAAGTAAATTTTTCACTCTGCTCCACTTTTCTCATGTTGGACATTTTTCTGATGAGTATGTCACGGTCAACAGTCAAAACGATCGTCCTTTAAGAGCGTTTGGAAAGAGACAAGTCTTCATTTGTGCTGCTCTGGTGGGAGGGGCCACGTACAGAGACGCTGGAGACGCTGCTGTGATAAACACCGCACAAAATTAACAATATTTTAACAGAAAATATAATTACAGTATTTTAGTAGAAAGTCAGCCGAGGGCCAGATTAAAGGTCTTGAAGGGCCGGATCTGGCCCCCGGGCTGCATGTTTGACACCTGTGACTTTGATGGAAAAACCCCCAGTATTGAATGTAAAATAACAGAGTAGCTGTTTATACACGACACTAGGCACAATTTAATATAAAACACAACTGTGTGCCATATATATAGTAGGAGGTCCCTGCTCCAGCTCTCCATCAGTTTGGAGTCCCTGGCTTGAAAAACGTGAAGACCCCTGATCTAAACCCCAGCACCTGCAGCCAAGCGTTGACATTGTTGTATCTATATGTTGTTTAAAGCACTGGCAACTCAGCTTCAGGAATTCAGTCCTTTTCTGACCTCCAGCTCATTTCTAAACTACAGGGATTCGAGAATTTTTGCTTTTAACTATTCAAAAGATTTACTGTTGTTTGGAGTTAATATTTCAATATGGTTAATAATCTGAAAACTATGGACATCTGTCACAGGAACGTTTGTGTTTCAACATTGCCATCATAAACTACTTGTAAATCACAAAAACACTCCCCTCTGTTCTCTATTACTATCATCTGATGCTAGGTGGCGCTGTCCGTCTTCAGATGCCTGCACTCTTTCCCCGCACTCTACCACGCTGCTGTAATACGTTCCAGCGAATGTAGCAAACAAAATAAGCCCGTCACAGTTCGGCTGTGGGGAATGTTGTGTAGTACCTCTCTCTTAATGAATGGAAATGTCAGTACGCCACCCCACCGCCGCAGATACCTCTTCAAATTACTCACTCCTCAAATGCTAACAGCCCTCGCGTTCAGGTGAGAGCGTACACAAACCCTCTATCTACAGCCAGATACACAACGCCAAACACAACTCCACGCCACGACTATTTTATATCAGCCTATTCTTCTCCCATGTTTTTCCTACATCTGATTTTGTAAGCAGCTCCAGCGGTTTTTAGAAAGTATATTTTTGAATGAAAAAGAAGAGTGTATTGTACAAAAAATGTGATGTAGCTGTATATTTTAAAAAGAAGTTTTCTTGTATGTGCTTTTAGGAGAGAAATAAAGGTCTTACAGAATGTCTTGGTTTGTTTATTTGGTGCAGAGTAATGTAGCTGAAGCAGTGATGGAAGAAGTACTTGATTTTGTTACTTTAGTAAAAGTACAGATACTGAAACAAAGAAACACTTAATTAAAAATATGATATCAAATGAAAAAACTACTTAGAAAAGGTATTACAGTAAAGGACCTGTTTAAAGATGTCCTTAAAGAGTAAAAAGTTATTAGATAAAGTATTTCATGCAGATTTTGATTTGTTATAAGGCTTCAAATATTTTATTTTTTATTTTTTTTATTTAACCTTTATTTAACCAGGAAAAAGTCTCATTGAGATTAAAAATGTCTTTTTCAAGAGCGTCCTGGCAAAGAGGCCACAAAACTACAGTTTCAAAACATAAAAACATACATACAAACATTCAGTATAACAGAACAATCAACACAATTCAAAGATAATTAAAACAATTACACCCAGAGGATTCCAGATCTTTGTTTTCTAAAATCTGTTTAAAAGATTCTAAGGAGACCAGCTTCTTTAACTATAAATCATTTTGTAAGAAGTTCCATGCCAAATTTTTCTGAACTACATGCTTTTGCAGATAAGACGGGAGTAGACCAAGAATACATTTATAGACCATCAGATACAAGTGTTTGAGCCTCCGTGTGGCTCGGGACGTCCAGCCCACTCGTGCAGACAGAACACACTGGTGTGTGAGCGCTCGAGACCAGTGATAAACCTCAGAGCTCCATGGTAAACTGTGTCCAGAGCTCGCAGACTCTGAGCAGAAGCATTCATATAAACCACATCATCATAAATGTGGCTTCAATGTCATTTCATTTGTATTTGTATTTTTTATTTATTTATTTTTTTCAAATTATGAATGTGTTCAAAATAAACCCTCAACCTTTTCAACAGCTCTCAAACAAAAATAAAAACACTAACTTTTCAGTCCTGTTCAAAAATCTAGTGGTGATGAGTATACACTTTAAAATGTACTTTAGTGAAGTACAGGAACCTACAATTTTTATTTAAGTACAGTACTTTACTACTTTACTACGTTACTACTTGTGACATTCCACCACTGGCCTAAAGCAACGTTGGTTGTAAGCTCACGATGTTTTGCCATAACCAAAATCACCAGAAAGTCACACAAAACTCCTAAAAGGAATTTGGACAATGCAGAATAAAAGTACACACATGTACACACACACACACACACACACACACACACACACACACACATACACGTACACATCTAAGTTATCCAGTACATATAATCAATTCAAGTTTATACTGTATTTTTTCGTTTGGGTGTTTCCTGCGACTACTCTGGTCTGACTTATATATTCAAATGTTCACAGTGACAGCGGCAAGAGGCTCTAGGCTTGTGTGTCAGTATCTGCTACTACTTTTACTCCTGTACCACTGTCACTTCAATCTACTGCGCATGTCTCCTGCAGAAGAAAGAGAAAGAGCCACTGTCTTTTCTGGTATGATGTCAGTCGATCGCACCTGTACTTCTGTACCACTGACAATTTAAAATTTAAACAAACATAAAGACAACCGAAACCATCCTGTCGGGATTCAGAAAGGCTGGAATAATTCTAACTGGAACTGATGCTGAGTCTTACAACAGCTACACAGAAGAGGAAGCGGCGCTCTGTTTACATCCGGAGGTCGAGGCCGAGTTGTTCAGAAGTGACACCGAGGATGAAGAATTGAATGGATTTAGTGATTTGGAGTGAGATGGAGAGTTTGTTAAACTTGTTCTGTTCTGTTGTTTATTTTATAGTTTATCTGAAGAACTGTTCATATGTGACATTAACAGTCTGTTGTTCTTTATTCTATTGTTGTTACTAGAACTTGACTTTCAAGTTGAAATGTCGGTTCCTGGTCTCAGATATTATAATGTAAATTTCCCCCAGAAAGTGTGACTTATATATGTTTTTTTCTTCATTATGCATCTTTTGGCTGGTGCGACTTACAATCTGAAAAATAGGCATACACAAACATATGCATAACATATGTACATGCAGAAATATAGTTTCTAATGATGATGATAAAGAAGGCACAAAGTTTATTGTTTATGATCGTACAAAATAAACAGTAATGAGAATGAAAAATTTAAGGATTGTTTGTGTTTGTTTATGGTCGTATAAACTAATAATAGTGATGAAAAAGGCACTAAAGTTTATTGTTTATAAATGGTCAAAATGTAAACAGTAATAAGGATGAAACAAGTAAGAATTTTGCTTTTCATTTATACTTGTACAAACCAATAATAATGATAACAACGGCACAAAAGTTTAGCGTTTATGAACGTACAAAATAAACCACAATGAGAATGTAAGGATTTTTTTGTTTTTGTTTCTGGTCGTACAAACTAGGGATGTAACAATATCCAAATCTCACGTTACGATATAATCACAATATGCATCTCATGGTACGATATTCATTGCGATATTTAGAAAAGACTGATGTAACTGTAGATGGGACACTTTTTTTGCTTTTAAAATACCTTGACAAGATTTTGGTGTGAATTATTTCCATCATAATCCCAAGAATTCACATAAAAAACATATTTCTTCATGTTGTTTGCACTGAAATGAATCATGGGATATGTAGTTTTATATGTTTTCAAGCTGTTGTTCTATAAAATCATGCATTTAAGCAAAGAAACTTGTTATTTGATATATTATGACACAATATTATTGTGAGACTTTTGACGATACGATATCACGATATTTCGATTACTGTTACATCCCTAGTACAAACTAATATTAATTTCAGCTCTGGATTTGCCGATCCCTACTGAACAAAAACAAAAAGGAGGTGAACTTGAAAACTACTGCTGACATCACAAGGTGGAACAGAGTATATTGAGCTTTATATACAGACAAACTAATGAAGGATTTCTCAAACATGTGAATGAAACAAAACACAACTCCAGTCCGTGTATCATTCCTTCATTCGTTTTTCAAGATAAAACCAAAAATAAGAAAATGAAAAAAACAACTGTTTTCGTCATTATTTGTCTCCAAGAACAAAATGAAAAAACAAAACAAAAACAGATAACGAGTCGTTTTTTCAGTTTTTGATTTTGTGTTTAAATGAAGAATGGAAAAAATGGATAACGACCGTTTATGTGATTCCATGAATGCGATGCCGGACTTTGGCGCTGCATACGGACTGAACCAGGACTGATCCAGGTCCGGGACCAGACCGGAACCAGACCGGGACCAGAGCGGACTCCGAGCTTTGACTCTGAGCCTCTGCGGGGTCCAAGCCTCAGCTTCGAGCTCAGGCCCTGCTGTGGGCTCTGAGCCTCCGGTCTGGTCCCGGTCTGGTCTGGTCTCGGTCTCAGTGCTGCTCTGGTCCTGGTCTGGTCCCGGTCTGGTCTCGGTCTCAGTGCTGCTCTGGTCCTGGTCTGGTCCCGGTCTGGTCTCGGTCTCAGTGCCGCTCTGGTCCTGGTCTGGTCCCGGTCTGGTCTCGGTCTCAGTCCCGCTCTGGTCCTGGTCTGGTCCCGGTCTGGTCTCGGTCTCAGTGCTGCTCTGGTCCTGGTCTGGTCTTGGTCTGGTCTCAGTCCCAGTCTGGTCTCAGTCCCGGTCTGGTTCCGGTCTGGTCCTGGACCTGGATCAGTCCTGGTTCAGTCCGTACGCGGTGCAAAAGTCCGACATCACAGTCACAGAAGTCACGTAAACGGGAAACGGCCGCTATCTGTTTTTTCCATTCTTCATTTAAACACAAAATCGAAAACTGAAAAACAAGTCATTATTTGTTTTTTTCATTTTGGATTTGGAGACAAATAATGAAGAAAACTGTTGTTTTTTCATTTTCTTATTTTTGGTTTTATATTGAAAAACAAATGAACGAAGGACACACAGATTCAACTCCAGGTCTGTTTTTGATGAGTCCATTTTGCGTAATGTAGGACCTTTAAAACGAGTGTGTTGCTTGGGTACGTTTGTAGTTTATCCTTACACGATATTAGCATAAAAAAACAGCTGTTACCATGGAAACCCACCATGTTTGTAGCAGCAGTGCAAAAAAGACCAAAGCGCAGTGGAACAACCTGATGTACGACCGAGTTAGTGACTCAGCCTTAATATCTCCGCTGGTTTAACTTTAAGCTGACGGTAAATTCTGTGAGGTGTGGCTCTGCAGGCCTATTATCTGTTATATAAAGATAGCATTAGCAAAAGCAATAGTGGTTAAGCTTGGTTAGATTTAACGAATATTTTGCCAACGTTAAGAAAAACAAAAGCTGGTTCTTATTATGTAGGTCAAAGGGACGGTATTTCGCAATTTTCTGATCTAGGTTATAATGTTTCCTTGTCTAAAACATAACACACAAACCCTGCGAGTTCTTCTCTCGGAAAACACACCGTTGCACCTTATGATGTCATGTGGTAATACAGGTAATAGAGCTCCACTGTGTTTTTAAACTCCAACTCAACATACGCCTTCACTGGAATCATTTGGATGAGTTCAGACCTGAAATTGAAGCTCCACTGAACAAAATTTAACGTGAAAACTACGGCTTCATGACATCACGAGGTGGGACAGAGCATTTTGAGCGTAGACAGACTCATAACAAAAGGATTACTCATGTGTGAATGAAACAAAACACGACTCCAGGTCTGGTTTGGAGGAGGTAATAACATTCTAACGCGGCTTAAAGCTCACAAGAGTTAATCTCACGTAACATAGGACCTTTAATCGCAGTTTTATTAGTAATATGTTTTCCCTCATTGCCCAGTCACATAGTCATAAACACACAAGTAAGTGGACAGAATAAATCAGTAACACGTCACAAAGACAATGGATAGGAATAACCACGCCTTGCACTTAGAGGTTTGTTTTGCTAGACGACATGTCCAAACTAAATCTGACGACTAATGATTTAATGACCGTTGTACATTACGAGCAGCTGCCAAAAAAATGGTAATGTGCCAGTGCAAATCAGTTTAACCTCTAACTGTGGGAAAATGGCTCTTATCTTACAGACAAGTCATTCAACTGGAGCTTTCTGCTGCTCGAATGCACAAAGAAAAAAACAAAAACGTTTCTTCATTGACTGACCAACGTGAGCTCTGAATGTGTTGTGGAGTTGTTACCTCGAGATCTTTCATTACAAATCCATGTATCATTTGTTCATTTGTTTTTCGATATAAAACCAAAAATAAGAAAACGGAAAAAAAACAACAGTTTTCTTCATTATTTGTCTCCAAAACCAAAATAAAAAAACGGACAATTTGTTTTTTCAGTTTTTGATTTTGTGTTTAAATGAAGAATGGAAAAAATGGATAACGGCCGTTTCCCGTTTACGTGACTTCCGTGACTGCGATGCCGGACTTTTGCACCGCGTACGGACTGAACCAGGACTGATCCAGGTCCCGGACCAGAGCGGGACTGAGACCGGGACCAGACTGGGACCAGACCGGGACCAGAGTGGAAATGAGACCGAGACCAGTGGTCCGAGTGGTTCCATGTCATCGTTTCCGCGCTGGTTCCGTGCGGGGAAAGTGAGAATGTTCTGTGGACTACAGGTCCAGACGGGCTGCTCCGGTCCTCCGCGCTCAAGAACCGCGGCTGGTTCCGAGGTGGTGCAAAGCATCCAACTGACGCTTTCACACCAACGAAAACGAACCGAACTAAGAGCTTCTGGTTCAAATGGACCAGGTCCAGGTCCAGACTGGGACCGGAGCGCTACTGAGACTGGGACCAGGGCGGGACCAGAACGGGCCTGAGACCGAGACAAGACCAGGACCAGACCGGGACCAGACCAGAGGCTCAGAGCCCACGGCAGGGCCGGAGCTCGAAGCTGAGGCTTGGACCCCGCAGAGGCTCAGAGTCAAAGCTTGGAGTCCACCCCGGTCCCGCTCTGGTCCTGGTCTGGTCCCGGTCTGGTCCCGCTCTGGTCCCGGTCTGGTCCTGGTCTGTCCCGGATTCATTTGGTTTTGGAGACAAATAATGAAGAAAACTGTTGTTTTTTCATTTTCTTATTTTTGGTTTTATATTGAAAAACGAATGAATGAATTATACACGGATTCATTACAGTATATGTTCTTAGAATGTACACAATATGTATACTCATTTTTTATGTATGGTGCATAATAAGTATGTAAAATGCAATTTCTGCTGATGTCATTTAACGGAGGAAATTTGCACTTGTTTTGGTTGGATCAGGGGTCTCAGACTCGCGGTAGATGTACGCACAATCCCACCCCCCACCGCGGGCCGCACTGACAGATGAAGCTGCAATCGGTGCCCGTGCAGATTCACAACAACAGATTATTAACGCAGTTTACACCCCAAAACTCAACTTACAGCAGCTGTGAAGCAACGAGTCTAAGTGGATCTGTTAATACGAGTGCACGTGCACATACGGCTTTTTTTTTTTGGTGCAACCACTATTTATTGAATACTCAATGTGGCCCAGCCTCACTCAGACTTTATCTAATGTGGCCCCCAGGTCATTTGAGTTTGAGGCCCCTGGTCTAGAGGGAATATAAACCTGGACATGTGTGTTTCTGTTTTGTTTTTTTTGTTTTTTGTATGTCTGGGTAACACTTTATAATAAGGTGCCATAATAAACAGCAAACTAATCATTACCTAACCTTTTGTTAATATTTGTTAATTGTTACTAAAATATCAGTTTGGCACAAGTTAATCATTTTTTCATCATTAACTAAACATGAGTTGTTTGCATTATTAACTATTAACTGATTATATTCAAGTTTGTTAATAGTTAACTAAATGTCTTTTTGAAATAAGTGTGAGAGACCCACTGTAAAATATTTGCTATCATTAATAAATGTTATAAGAAATATTTGTAAATAGTTAATAATTGCTGTTACAACTTTATTATAAGGTGCTCTACACTTATATATTATATATATATATATACACACACACATTACTAATATATGAATTAAGCTTAACCAACTTTATTATAAGTGCTCTACACTTATATATGTGTGTATATATATATATATATATATATATATATATACACACACACACACACACACACACACACACACACACATTACTAATATATGAATTAAGCTTAACCAACTTTATTATAAGGCTTCTATGAAGAGTGGTTCATACTGAAATAAGCAGAAGCACATTTTAATAACAGTTATAATAACAGGCTGTCACAATATATCGAATCACAAGTTAATTTGCTTAAATGCATTGACAGCTAAGAAACATCAGGAACTACACATCCCATGATTCATTTCACTACAGACAACATGGAGAAATGTTTTTTTTTACTTGAATTCTTGGGATTATAACAGTATTTATTTGCATTGAGTGAATGTGTACATATGTGTGTGTGTGTGTGTGTGTATATATATATATATATATATATATATATATATATATATATATATATATATATATATATATATAGGGTTAACATTACTTTTTGTTCTTAAACCAGTATGTGATCTAGAACAGAAGGTAAAAGGAGCTACAAGGTGGAATGGAGCATTTTGAGCTTTGGAGATGCAGACAGACTAATAAAGCAGCGATACTGAAACTTGTGTGAATGAAACAAACACTCTAAAAAACTAAACATTCTTACATGCCTAAAGCTCACAAGAGTCCATTTAGTGTAATACAGGAACTTTAACACAAATGGAGACAGATTTATTGCTTATAATATAGTAAATGAAAGACTCAGCGGTCAGGTTCAACATACAGTTTGTGCATTTACCTTTTGGATATTTTATGGTAGAGTATAATGTATCAAGAGGGAAATCTGGCTCTTGCCTAAGGTGACCAGATTTTCTAAAAATAAAAAAACTGGGACATCCCTGGTTCAGGCTGGTTGGTGACAATAAAATTATGAAACAAGTACGTAATTAAAATAATTTGTTCTGCGCTCGGCCCATTCATGACTAACATGTGAGTCAGTATAGTCACATTTACTTTACGCTTAAGTCGTTTATAAGATGATTTTCTGTATTTTAGTTAAACAAATGACACTTTATGCCTCTCTTTACTGTTGGCAGAGATCAAACTGGTTAAAAATAGGGACACATGGGACATTTCTTGGGACAAATCAGCAGTGTTGGGGAGTAACAGATTACATGTACTGGAGTTACATAATCAGAGTACAAATTATGAGTAACTGTATTCAGTTACAGTTACTGTTTCAGTGAGTAGTAATTGGATTACAGTTACTTGGTTGAAATAAATGGATTACACAGAGGTATTTTCCTGTTTTCACATTTTGGGCTATTTCCCTTTTTTATTTTTTCTCGGTAATTCCACTCATTGCCGGACACTAAACCAGGTCTAAACCAGGACTACACCAGGTCTAACCCAGGACTAAAACCAGGTCTAAAACCAGGTCTAAAACCAGGTCTAAACTAGGTCTAAACCAGGACTAAACCAGGACTAAATCAAGACTAAACCAGGACTAAACCAGGTCTAAAACAGAATTTAACAGGACTAAATCCTGCTGCGCGGACTGTGTCTCCTCCTCTTCTATCAATAATATTTTTAATTTGGTTCAGTAAAGTCTGGGCTTTTTATTGTCTTTTAGCAGACAAAACATCTTATGTGAAGATCCTCATCTTTGCTTCTCTACAGCAAATCAAGTAATCCAAAGTATTCCGATTACATTACTCACTTTAAGTAATTTAACGGATTAAGTTACAAACTACATTTTGGGCTATGTAATCTGTAATCTGTAGGGGAATACATTTTAAAAGTCACCTTCCCAACACTGCAAATCCGTGGTTTTGGATAAATCTGTTGGGACAGGGGACACAGGGTCAACAGGGACGTCTGGTCGCTCTACTCTTACCCCCATTGAGACATTATCACTTTCTAAATTCTGAAAACCATCAGTTTATTAAAAGGCCTCTAAACTGTGGCAGCCTATCCAAGATTATAAAGGTAAAATGACACCCTCTTGTGGCTAAACCCAAATTTGGCCTCCATTTGCGCGTCAAAAAGCCAAAGTAAATAATCCCCTTTTCATCTTGGACTTGTTTCAACAAACCCCTTTTGGCCCCAACACCACAGATCTGCTTTGGAGAGTGACAATTTTACGAGCTTTGACACTTTTCCGAGGCCAGAGCAGCGGAGGAGGAGGAGGAGGAGGAGGCATCAGCGTTTAGGCCGGTGCTGCTCTGCGGGGAGGAGGCGCTCGCACTCGGGGGAGGGACGCGTCTCTGCGCTGGTACGTCGATGCTTCACTGTCACCTGTACGCGAAACGAACACCTGTTGCCCGGGGGCCTGACAAAAGAAAAAAGATCGCGTTTCATGTGGTTTTGGAGGCCCGCACAAAGGCGTAAAGGCCCGGGCTGAAAGAGTCTCACTGTTCCCCGGTTTGGATCGCGACGCGCACGGAGCAACAAGTTGGATTTACGCGTTGTTTTTTTTTTTTGTTTTTTTTTTTTTACCAGTGGATGCGCTGTGGACGGTCGTAGCGCGAAGAGTTTGATTCATTTACAGGTAAGAGCTTAGAAAACGTGCTACCTTAACAGAAATCCACTTTTGTTTACTTGCATTTGTTGTGTTTGAGGTTCTTATCGGTTGAGAAACGCTGATAAAGTTTGCTGATTTACGCTTGAGTCCTGGTTTAGTCCGGGTGTCTTGGTGGTTTTCAGGTCATTTACATTAAGTCATACTCCCAGAACGTGAGCAAGAGCCAGTTTTCCCTCTTAATAACACTGCACTTTGCCAGGGAATAGTCTATCCAAAAGGAAAATACGCAAATGTTGAACCTGATCGTCATTAAATGGACCAATATTGACTTATAGAATGTTGTGAAGTCATCTGAAACCCAGTTAAGGCTCTTTTCAGTGTTTCTCAAAGATTTAGTTAAAGTTATTGTGATTAAAATTACTTTTATTTGAATAATTTGATCTGTAGTGGATATTTGGAGTAAGTATAAAGCCTGTTCCCTTGGCCTATGTGCTGTTTAATGTTTAAAGGTCATATATTATGCAAAAATTGAGGTTTGTGTGATGTCTGAGTCGTGTTATAATGTTGTTGCCTCCTTAAAAAACACACCTGGACTTGTGTTTTGTTTCATTCACACATGTTTGAGTGATTTGTTTGTTTATTTGTTTGTTTAAGGATCCTCATTAGTCTCTGGAATTGCACTGACGACTCTTCCCGGGGTCCAGTCTCATCATAAAATCAAACAAACAAACAAAAACACACTGACCGTACATTAACAATAAGGATTTTCAACTGAATTTTGGTCGCGATTTCGATTCGTGTGTCAAACGATCTCCAAACTCAAAGATTTTTAGTAAAGGTTAACTGTTTATTTTGGAATATTTTTATATAAATAAGTGTTGTAGAATTGTAGAACAGCTGGATATATAGTTTATTTTGGAAGCATTTATGTTTTTCTGTGCCTTATTTCATGTTCAAAGTTTATTTGATTCATTTATGTGTTTATTTTGGGCAAGTAAGAAATGTACATTCTTTTACAGTGGAACATATAACATTAATTAAATCACAGCAGAAATAACAACAGCAAAAAAATAAAAAAAATGGCCCAAAAAGGAGTGGGAGAAAAAAAAAAAAAAAAGTATTTAATCCCACTCCCACTCTTCTAATCTAAGTACAAGTGCAGACAAAGAGTCACTGTGTTGTACTGTTTATTCATTTTATGATTTATACATTGCAAAACGGCTCTAAAGTTCATATTTGTAGCCTATATTTATTTTCAATTATCAATAAGAGTGTTGTTGTTTTTCTGAGAGAGAGAGAAATGCTGAATAAATGCATCGTGTAACTAAAAAATAGTAGTTTGAATAATCGTAATTTCAATATTGACCAAAATAATCGCGATAATGATTTTTTTTTCCATAATCGCGCAGCCCTTATTAACAGTAATCCTTTAGTATTAGTCTGTCTACAACTACAAAACTCAAAATGCTCTGTTCCACCTTGTGATGTCATGAAGCGGTAGTTTTCAAGTCAACGGCGACCTTTTATCCAGTCAGTTTTGTGTGATACAGGACCTGATCTAGTGTTTTCTGTTTGAAAGTAGAACTCATCTTAAAGGGACAGTTTGGAATTTTGGACATAGGGCCTCATTTCCTAGTGAGCCAGAGTGTTGGAGACGTGTGGAGACACTTTTTGAAATATTTCATCCAGTCCTTGTATTTGCAGAGGTCACTGGTGCTAGGCTAGTGCATGTCAATGGCCATAGTTAGCCTTGACACTAAAAACAGTCTTGCCCACTCTACAAAACACCCAAAGCAAATCTATTATTACACCAGACTGTCCATGTAAATGTCTGTGTTGATAGAATAATTTTAGAAGTAAAACCAACCTTGCATTTGAAGGATTTATGTCTGAGCAGCAGCAGTGAGTTGTACTTCCTGATAGAAAGTCTGATGCAAGAATGTGCTTTCATTGGTTTCATCTTTAAATGCATTTTTCTTTTCTGTCCATCTTACGCATCATCATCGCAATACTCTCTCAAACAATTAGACCATCCTTCCTTTGTAATATCCAAAACCTCCACAATCATCAGACGAAGAGCATTCAGATTCAAAGCACCATCAGACTGGAACAATTTGCCAAACTCTCTGCGCTCCACATCATCACTCCATATCTTTAAGAAAGACTTATTCATTCATCTTAAAACACAATGTGACTGCTTTTAGTGAGAGATCTGTTTGGTTGTTATATTGACGTTTTTCTATGTTTATGTTTAATGTCTGTGTCTATGTATTTTGTCTTATCGCTTTGTGTTTCTGTTTATTAGACATGTTGTTTTGTTTTTGTATTGTTTTTGTTTTGCTAGTTTTTATTTTTGCGACTTGTTGTTGTATTCTTTGGATGCTAAGGATCCCCCTCGAAAACGATGTGACTCATCTCAAGGGGATTTTCCTTAATAAAATAAACGTAAAATAAATAAGTTTGGCAGCGGCGGACTGATATATGAGAAAATAGTCCCTCGATACGTGATGATTCGTGCAATGCAAGGTTAGTTTTATTTCCAACATTATTTTATCAACACAGACATTTACATGGACAGTCTGGTGTAATAATAGATTTGTTTTGGGTGTTTTGTAGAGTGGGTAAGACTGTTTTTAGTGTCAAGGCTAACTATGGCCATTGACATGCACTAGCCTAGCACCAGCGACTTTTGCAAATACAAGGACTGGATGGAATATTTCAAAAAGTGTTTCCACACTTCTCCAACACTCTGGCTCACTAGGTCGAAAATTCCGGACTGTTCCTTTAAATATGCAGGGCTTATGTGTTGAACATGTGTGAAGGAAACAAAACACAACTCTAGACATGTTTCTAATTCATGTTTCGATAAGGAAACAACGTCATACAGACCTTTCAAACTTGAGTTAAATACTTTTACTTCTGTGGGATATTCTTGGTTTAGTCGGTCCTTTGCCCTGGTTTAATCTCTTTAGTCGTGCTGTGACAGACAGTCTGAACCCGCGGTGAGTATAGAAGTATATTCAGGTAAGAAGAAATATCTATCTTCCATAAAGACTGTTAGGATTGTTAATGGCTTTGGAAGTGTTTCAGGCATCCAGCAGTTTCGAAACGATGAGAAATAAAAGCTGTGATCCGCGGTGAAAGGTGCCTGCAGAGAAGCGCGGGGCTCCCTCCTCACCGTGTCATGCATTTAAACGTCCGTAATGAGCCATAGAGCTGCGTCGCAAAGTCAAATTAAACCGGTAAAATATAGAAAAGTTGAATGGAAATGTGTGCCAATTTAATCTGGAGAATGTCACAGAGGTCGCGGTGCAGTTTCAACATTTTCTTCCGTCTGGTATTTCGTGTAACAATGGATACTCGCTAACATTGTGTGCGAAGTCCAAAGAGATAGTATATATAAAAGTGAGAATAAGACTTTACAATGGCCGCGTTTACATGATAAATTGGCTTTATTTAATTTAATTCCGCTCAATGTCTGGGGGTCGGGAAAGGTTCTGAATCCATGTATTATTTGTTCATTTGTTTTTCAATATAAAACCTAAAATAAGAAAAGGGAAAAAAAAATAAAAAATTTCTTCATTATTTGTCTCCAAAACCAAAATGAAAAAAAAAAAAAAAAAAAAACAGATAACAATTCATTTTTTCAGTTTTCGATTTCGTGTTTAAATGAATAATGGAAAAAACGGATAACGGTTTCCCATTTCCGTGACTTAAACTGTGATGCTGGACTTTTGCGCCGCATACGGACTGAACCAGGACTAAACCAGGTCCAGGACCAGACTGGGACTGAGACCGGGAACAGAACCAGGACCAGACCGGGACTGAGACTGGGACCAGACCAGGAATGAAAACGGTTTAGTCCTGGTTTAGTCTTGTCCTGTTTCAGTCCGTATGTGGCGCAAAAGTCCGACATTGCAGTTTAAGTCACGGAAACGAGAAACGTCTGTCAATTTTTTCCATTCTTTATTTAAACACAAAATCAAAAACTGAAAAAATGAATCATTATGTTTTTTCATTTTGGTTTTGAAGACAAATAATGAAAAAAAATAGTTGTTTTTTTTCGTTTTCTTATTTTTGTTTACTTTTACTTCACATAAAAGTATTATTCTGTTGTGGGCCTAATTACAACTGGTTTTACTGTTACTGATTTGGTAGTAGCCTAAAATTTGCAATTGCAATTTTTGTAAAAACACCAACAGTATTATTCCACCATGTTTTGTAAGTGTATGGTTTTCATTGTGGTTAACCCTGGCAAAGGCAGTGAAATCTATCTGTATTTGGCTCAGATTATAGCTGGGGTTATTCGTGTGTACTGAGTGTGTTCATCGATCAGGTCAGACTTATCTCTGTGAATTATTGACCACATAAGGAAATAATGTCCTGTAGAATTGTGATGGTGTCATGTTGTAGACAATAAAACAGAGCTGACTGGTCAATGTCCAGGATCATAATAGTGGAATATGAGACGATGCCTTGGCAGAGGTCTGTACTCTCCTCTTTTTCTATTAAGCTACATATAAAAATGTTATGTGTTTATATGTATTTATTTAAGATTTACTGTTTCTCAGACTGTGGTACATGGAGCTAACTTTGCACAACAAGATGGATTCTCACGATATTTGTGAGTTCACATGCATGAGAATCCACCCATCCTCATGAGACTCCTGCTGTAAAGTCAAGCAGGTGGATTGACCAACACTTCTCTTTACTTCACTCTATTTTAGCTACGGTGACCAAACGTCCGTTTTTCCCCGGACATGTCCGTATTTTGGGTCCTGTCCTGCGCGTCCGGGTTTTTTTTTTTTATAAAGTGATGCAAATGTCCGGGTTTTCAGTACCGCTCATTAAACTGAGCGTCTCTCGTAGCGTCTGTGACTCAGAAGGAGCGAGACACAAACAGTCGGTCAGTCTACAACATACCGAAGCACAAATGTACATTTAACAATGACTTGTACAAGAAATTCTCAGTTTTCCGTCCCGATCGGGACAAGTGTGAGTCCATGTGCACAGGTTGTGAGGTGAGA